GCTGCTATCGGGCGCGCAACTGCATTCGGGCTCGTGGCTCCTATCAGGTTTTTGTTCTTATACAGTGTTTGTTGCAAACTGTTGGGACACTGGCTACTGCGATTTTTTGCACCTGCGTTGTTTGGTTTGATTTTTCTAACGGTCTCTCTTTTGCCCCCAAGACCCTTCTAGGCTGGTCAAACCCACTCAGACCCAAAGCCAACCCCCAAGCCAACCCAAACCCCAAATCTACCGAACCAAGGTCAGCAAGCAATGGCCACAAGTAAGTTCGTTGCTTCATAATGCCCAAATCCACATAAATCCGCCTTACACAATAACCACTTTACCCCGAAATATCCATTTACCATTTCGCCACCTTACACAATACCCACTTTACCCCGAAATATCCACTTTACCACCTCGCCACCTCAAACAATTACCCCAAAACCCGAACTACCAGATAACTCCCCAAAAAATAAATTATGAACTTACGCGTGGCACTCTTATAGGAAAACCATTTAACTATTCTATTGTTTTATGGTTTAGTAATATGCCACAGGTTATACTTAAAAAATTATCTAAACCAGCAAAGAAATACGACGCGGTCATTGATGGTAGAAAAGCTGTTTCATTTGGTGCTACGGGTTATAATGATTGTGAAGAGACCTCGATGCCTAGTGCAAAAGTGTCAACCATCACATGGACTGCCTTGGGCATCCATGTTGACTCGCTATGAGACGCATGTATCAGTACACAAAAGACATGGTGATCAGCCTTGCGCTATCCCATGATCTATCGCACTCCGGCGAATGTTTGGCTCAAGTCAAAGGTCAAACCGAAGCCACGAGCTCAAAGAGCACGAGGCAGAGGACAAACGTAGAAAACACTACTTCTTTCTCCTGTTTCCAGACATCAGCAATTGCGTGTATTGCCCCTTGCACAGACACTTCAGCTGCATCGCGAGGACGCGGAAAAGAGACCTGAAGTTGCCTGCTTGGGTTACGTTGTCCAGTGCTAAAAGGCAACCACAACTACAACACGAAGCTCGGTGAGGTGAGCAATCATACCATATATCAAAGACCAAACCCTCACGCAGGTTATCAGCCGTAGGCTCTGCCTACACAAGGACTTTGTCATCGTGTCAACACACCAGCAATGACATCTGGATAAGTGCAGATACGACAATGACCTTTGGTGGCGATGTGGCAATGCCTGCCGTCGCAGATTCAACTGTCGACGACACAACAACAATCTCTGTGGACTCAGCGACCACGGATGATAAGAGCGGGACAAAGCCATCGGGATCGTCACAACACGTCAATCAGAGAACAAGCGCAAGATCGTTGCCAAGAGCGCTATCGACACCAAGATCTACTTCAACCGGATCAAAGCCCAAACCACTCGATAGACGACCATCAAAGACGGTGATCTACAACTGTCCACAAAGACGAAGGATCGTGAGATCAAGAGTCCAGAGAAGTCGAGATCGAAATCCTCTTCCCGAAGTGCGTCGCGGAAAGCAGTCAGGAAACCATCTGAGTCTTCGGCACCTTTGGTGAGAAGACGGGAAGCTGACCTGGATCCTGTGCCTTTGGCAAGGAGCCTGGGTTCAGCCCCCTTTGGAAGTAATGACAACGCTGACGCACTGTTGGACAAGGCCATCCAATCCCATCGACAAGGCGGCGATTGCAGCAATTTTCAAGCTCTGGGTAACGCTGGTCCGACACGCCAGATGCCGCAATCTGCAGAAGAAAGTCGTGTACGTCAAATTCTCTACGCCGAGGAAGAAATGAGTAAATCTCATGAACGTGAAGTTCAAAGGCATGAAGAAGGCATGGCTGTGATGAATCAGCAGGTTAGGCAAACGGTGCAATGGTTGGAGTTCCACCAAGTAGAAGATCAACGTTCTACTATGAGGATTGAAGAGCTCGAACGACAAAGGAATATCCTATCAAATGCAGTCGGACATGTGAGTCGACGTCACCAGGAGACTACCGAGGAGTATGTCCATGTGGTGAGAGGCATCGAAGAAGCGAGTTCAGCCCAACGTCAAGGTGATGAACATACGGCAGAAATGCTACATCAAGAACTGGGTCAACTACGCAACGAAGCTTCACAGAGTTTTGCTGATCTGGAACTGATGGCTCAGAATGGTGAACACAATATGGCTATGCAGTACCAGAAATTGACGCATACTCTGAATGAGAAAGCTCACGAGGCATTGAAGTACAGGATGGAAGCGTCCAGCAGGGAATCCGAAGTGGCAGCGATGTGCGAGGCGATAGAGCAAATGGCAAAAGAAGAGGCAAAGAGCACAATCCTTGCAACAGAATCTGGGATTTATGCCCTACAAGATCGGCTTAGCAAGGAGGAAGCCGCCAAACTTGAAGCCGATGCGGGAATGCATCAAGCAGAAGTTTATGCACGTCAAGCATCTGAACGCGAGCGTCCGATTACTGCCCTACACAGTGAGTTGGGTGAATTACGTCTTCGACTCAAACAACAAGAAAGAAGAGCTTCAAGCGCGTAGCCAACAATCTTGGAAGTTGGAGATCGGAGCCGAACGCATGCGGAGTCAGCAGCATTCTCAGAGATCGTCGAATGCAGCGTGGTCATCGAGAACTTCTGAGACGGGATGGGAGTTTGTGAGTAGCCAAGTAGGAAGTCAGAAAGGGTCAGCATTTCCGGTGGCTAGCGATGTGCGATCCCCTGACATCGGTTCTCCCACGCTGCGCAGTCCTGTTAACAGAGGCAAAACTATCTTTGTATATTGCTCCGCAATATCCTCAATCGTGCAAGACAGCACGTCGAACAGTCCAGTCCAATGTTTCCGGCAAGCACGGTGCCAGCATCAAGCGCAACCCTTTCCGGAAAAGAGGCGCGAGACAATCAGCTGCACGAACTCCTCAGAATGCGCGGTATGCAAGGAGCTTCATCTTCTTCATCAACGGGTGTTCCACAACAGTTTGGTGCGTCCTCTGGGGCAACCAACAAGAACATCTTTATGGAAGAAAATGATGATGTAAAGACGCAAAAGCTCATTGCTGAATTGATCGAGCAGGACGTCTTGAGAGCAGACGGAACTGGTGGGCAAGACAAGTCTGCATACGGGGCGCTGCCTTGGGCACGACTCGATCAGGCAAGATGTGAACAAATTGCACGACTGGCAAACACTGCTCCGTCAACATCGTCAGACGTCAACATTCACCTAGGGAGGAAATGGCCGAGGAGAGGTTGCGCGAAGATCGGAATATTTGGAAGCAAGCTGCCGAACAATTCCAACGGGAATACGACCAAGAACAAGGTGGAGATGACGGACAGAACTTGTATACCGAAGAAGAAGTATCCCCATCCGAGTCTCCTTCAAACCTTGGACCACGTGCTCCTGGCGGCGGTGATGGTGATGATGACCCAGCACCAAAGGGACGAAGGCGTCGCGGAGGCGATCCAGATCCCGATCCTCCTGGTGATCCCGACGGAGAAGGTGATCATGAAGTCACTTCCGTCAAAATATCTAGGAGAGAAGCGGACAAGGTTGTGGTTCCACCCTTCCCGAAGGTGACACACCTTGACAGCTGGATGGTTAACTGTACCGCAAACATTCTCGGTGCCTGCGCGGATCCAAACCACGAGGACTGGATAGCTTGGCTTCAGCCAGCATTCCGTCCGAATCCTGACATTGATGCACTCAATGATTCCGGGAACATCAAGTTCAAGAGCATTGACGTCAAGCGGGTGTGGCTATGACTGCTATGACTGCCATGATCAAGAATGGTGGTGACAGTGACAGTGCACAAAACTTGTATCTGAATGTCAACCTCTCAGCGAACAAGCTCATGCGAGAACAATCGAAACTGCTCAAAGGGAGACAGATCATCGCCGCGATGTACGAAAGCTTCAGGACCCGTGATCGACTGGACATGGTTGTGTCACTTGACTTCCTCATCAAGTTGCAATATCAAGGTGACCAGAAGATGAACGTGTTCAAGCAAGCGTGGTTGGAGATCATTGATCGAATGCGACCTGAAGACGTTCCATCTGATACCGCATTGAGAGATACACTCTATTCAAAGATCAAGGAATCACCGGCATTGAAGCAGGAGCTTTGCGCGCATTACGACATGCTGAACTACGATGATCCGGAACGTTCCTACCAGAAGCTTCTCCACATTATGAACAGATGTATTCGGAGGAATCGAGAGAACAGGAATCAACAGCAAATCAGTTCTGGTCTCAACTTGATGGTGGCCGGCAAGGACGCAATGTCTGCTCTCCCGGCGAAAGTCAAAGGAGGTGGGAAAGGCAATGGCACTCCATCCGACAAGAAGGGCAACAAGACAGACAATGAGAATGCTGCCCCAGTTCTTCCTCAAACTAAAGCCAAGACACATTCCAAAGCCAAGGCGAAAGGTAAGCCAGAAACAGGCAAACAAAGGGAAAGATCTGAATCTACGGATGGCAGGCCAAACATGAAGCCCGTCAGATGCAAGTTCTTCTTCTCCGAACATGGCGAATGCAAGAACGGGGACAGGTGCCCATTCAGTCGCTCCAAGAAGACACCTGAACGAGGACGAAGCAGCGCTCCTGGCCGAAGAAGAACACCTGGGAACAGCCCTTCATCCGACAACAAGCAAAAGGTATGTTACAACTTCAAGAAGAACGGAAGTTGCAATCGTGCCCATATGCTCATATCAATCCTGCGACACCGGCGGAGGGCGACAACAAGCCCGAAGCCAAAGCCAAGGCTAAAGCGAAGACAAAGCCTGAAGCCAAGGCTGAAGCTAAAGGGAAAGCGATAGCAAAGGGCAAACCACAGAACGCAGCTCCGGCGATCAGAATGTGCAGAGCATGGAATCCTCTTGCTCCAGCTGTACGCAAGAAAGCACATGCTGAGGATGATGAGGAATTTGAGTGTTCATTTATCGACAGCGATATCGATTCGGACTGTGCTACGGATGATGAGCGGGATGGATCGACTTGGTCGGCCAAACCGAAAATGGACAAACGGATCACTTTCGCTGCAGATGTGACTTTCCAATCATCACGACCAAGAAAATATCATACAAAGAACGTGGTGAAGAGATAGTCAAGGTCAATGCGAAGAAACTCATCGAGAGCGAGAATCGAGCAAACGAACTTGGATTCGCAATGCACAAGGCTCGCTTTAAGGCGCAGCTGATGATCGACATGGTGTCAGACGACAAACCAGGTGATCGACGTATGTGTGTCCGAGTTCCCGAGACAGACAAGGTCAAACAGATCATATTCTTCGACGGCGAGGACGAAATTGTGGAGATGAAGGTCAATTCCAAGAAAAGCAAAGGACTAAAAGTCTTTGAGGAAGTCGCATGTATGGTTCAGCCTACATGGATGCGGTCCAAGATCAAGTTCCTTATGGACGCAGGCTGTGGACATGACCTCATATCTCAGCGCAAAGTCGAGAAGCATGGTCTAGAGACGCTTGTCAGCCCAGAGAACGGAGTATCATTCCAAACAGCGAATGGCATCACGGCCACGGACCTGATATCCAATTTCAGGACGAAATCAGTCGCAGAAACGATCAACGCCTATGTTCTCGATGATACGCCATCAGTTCTTTCGGTGGGAAAGAGATGTATGCAACAAGGATATGGTTTTGTGTGGCCACCCGGCAAAGATCCATTCATGATCAATCCGGATGGAAAGCGAATATCTCTCTTTGTCCATGGCGACATCCCTTACGTTCGTGCAGGAAGTCAAAAGTCAGGACCACGCGAAGATGAGATTGCGACCAACGTCAAAGCTATATTCGACAAAATTGGTGAGGATGGATCGCTATCCAGCGTGGTGGCAGATGCTGCCACCGCCACAGCGACACCAAGAGAGGATGCTGAGGGTCCACCTGAAGATGAACTAGAAGGACCTCCTGATGATGAGATATCAGCAGATGAAGCTCCTGACGAAGAAGTGCCGTTGGCGGAAGCAGGAAGACCTCCAGAACCACCAGACGGAGAGCGTGAAAACGAGGCAGAAGACGAAAGAGAGATCGAGGTTGAAGGCGAAGGAGCACCTACTCGCAAAGCGATCATTGGCACTCTGAAAGCGGAAGCCAAGACTCTCGCGCATCTTTGCACTCACCGATATCGAAATCCGTACTGTGAAGCATGCGTTCGAGCAAACCGAACGGAACGTGGAGCTTTCAAGAGGGAATTGAAGCCATGGGGGGACTTGATCACCTTCGATTTCCTTGACGTGCGCAAAGCGGCTGACATGGGCATGGGCAACGACGATGAAGATCGGGAGATTTTAGTTGTGCGCAGCGTGGCAACCAAGGTCATCGTCGCAATCCCAACGAAGAACCGGTGCACAGAAGACGTCGTAGACGCTTTGAGAAGATTGATCGGAAGACGGAAGGTGAAGCTTGCCTACAGCGACGCTGCGCCCGAGTTCGATGCAGCAAGCAACTCCGAATTCCTGTTGATCATTCCCTGCCCGGCCATCCCAAGAACAATTCTCTTGCAGAAAGGACCAACCAGGTGGTAATCAACACCGTGGCTACCGCGTTACTTCATGCAGGATAACCAGCGCAGTGTTGGCCTTTTGCCCTCAACTGTGTGACTCACAATCTCAACATCGAGGACGTCGAGGGAGATGGTGATTCAGCGTGGAAAAGAATGACGGGGGATGATGTCAAAGGGAAAGCCATACCGTTCGGTGCCAAAGTATTCTTCAAGCCTACAACTACAAGAAACGACATGACGTACGCCGGAAGGGTCGATCCAAAGAGAGTTCCAGGAGTATTCGCAGGGTATGTGATCACATGCAGGACAACAATGGTCGAGAAAGTACAGAGTTTGGGACGTGGCCGAGTTCGCCTTTCGTGAACTTGTCCATGAATGACACACATGAATGCAGCAGTGCCAAGAAGACTTGCCCAACCTTTCACGACTGAAATGGTGGTCCTCCCAGAGAAGCTCGAGTTTCCATTGAAGAACGAGTACGAAAGAATGAACGCAACGCTTGAAGGGCTTAAAGACAACACCGAGTTGAAAGGCAAGGAGATCAACGACCTCGATCCCGGAGGTCATCTACCTGATGGAAGCCATGGTGATGACGACGACGACGATGATGGTCAACCACCCAAGCTCCCTCCTGATCCTGGAGAAGCAGACGAAGGGAGTGGCGTTGGAGATGTCCCAGTCGACGATTACGAGGCTCTTGATGCCATCGGTGATAAACTTCTTGTAGAAGCAGCTGAACGAGGAGAGTCGCGTGATGCTTTACCGAAGTCGTCAGGATCAGCTAAACCTGGGGAACCACGGTCACTTGATGAGGTGGGACTTTCAGGAAGGCTCATTCCGAAAGGAGATGAGGAGGACCCAGGGGAAATCCTAGGTCGTTTGAAGGATGCCAAGCTTGTGGGAGACGAGGTCGAACATTGGCATACAGGCGTCAAGGGCGACGGTAAGATCTGCTTGCAAGATCGACAGACGTGGCGTCATTTACAAGGTCGGCATTGACGGTCGGCGTATCGTTCCTTCTCGACGACCCAAACATTTGTATTCACCTGAAGAGTGGGACACTACGGGTGCCAAAGCCAGAGATAAAGCGTACAAGAAAGCGAGCGAGAGAAGACTAAGGCAGCAAAGAAGGAAAAGAAGAGAGCCGCCGTGGGTAAGAAGATCGTGAACAACATGCTGGACAAGATGGTTTTCCCCAAGATAGTTCAGTGCAACAAGATTGACCTTGAGTTAGGAGGATCGTGTACTGAAGGATGGGAACTTTGCATTGACCTATGTGGTATTGCACAGATGATGAGTTCCAAGCACATACCTACGGCATTGCTTTCCCTCTTGATCGACAGTGGTATTCAGTTACCTTCCACTTTCCGAACCCGCATGATTGCCAGTCGTCAACAAGCTCACACTTCCAGGAACCCAGCTGCATTGACACATTTGCCAGCCAACATTCCGGAATTGCACAACAGGATCATGGACACGCCTGTTACGACTGAAGAAGCCGCGGAATTGGAAGCAGCTCGACGCCGTCGACGCGGAGCAAGACGACAACGTGAAGAGACGAGCGGTGCAACACCTCCTCCACCACAACAAGCTCGACGCGATCGATGGCAACGCAGTCAACGTGCCTACGACAATCGTTCGGCAGAGTCAAGGTCTGGGTACCGTTACAACCGAGACTACCGTGATGACAACGATCGATGGCATTATTGATCGACTACCTGTACATTGTCATCTGCGTCGACTACATCCTTGCATTGTGGACACGACTCCTTGCGCCACATTTCGCGCATATTTCTTTGAATGCTTCCCTTCACTTTGCACCGAAGCCGGGGATCGCATCTAACGTAGTTGTGTTTCACTCAGCGATCAATTGGGCAGTTCTGCGCGCAACAGACAAACAATCGCCGTTGAGATTTCTTTCTTCTCAGGTCCCACTACTCTCTTCTTTTCGTGAGTAAAGCTGGAGGCTTCACTCATGGGGGGTGTGAAGAGACCTCGATGCCTAGTGCAAAAGTGTCAACCATCACATGGACTGCCTTGGGCATCCATGTTGACTCGCTATGAGACGCATGTATCAACACACAAAAGACATGGTGATCAGCCTATTGGGCTATCCCATGATCTATCGCACTCCGGCGAATGTTTGGCTCAAGTCAAAGGTCAAACCGAAGCCACGAGCTCAAAGAGCACGAGGCAGAGGACAAAGGTAGAAAGCACTACTTCTTTCTCCTGTTTCCAGACATCAGCAATTGCGTGTATTGCCCCTTGCACAGACACTTCAGCTGCATCGCGAGGACGCGGAAAAGAGACCTGAAGTTGCCTGCTTGGGTTACGTTGTCCAGTGCTTGGTAAAAGGCAACCACAACTACAACGCGAAGCTCGGTGAGGTGAGCAATCATACCATATATCAAAGACCAAACCCTCGCGCAGTGATTTTGCAAAACATAAAGATGAACAGAGAAGACAAAACTGCATAGCAAGACACGGTGCTACACAATCTTGGAAGGACATAGAAAAACCGCAGACGTGGGCGAGGTATATTTTATGGGGAAAAAAGACAATACCAGAAGCGGTAAGAAATATGGAAATGAATTTAAACTAGATATAAAAGCCAAGAAATCATCAAGGCTAATGCAATTAAGATAATCTTTATCGTTTTTTGTGGAACGGTTATTTTTTGCGGGATTGTGTTTTTTTCATTCTTTTTGTGTATTCCTCTTTTGATAGATACGGAAACCTTGCATCCATATATCTTTCCCACGAGTATATATCATTAGACACACTGTCTGTCCTTCTTTGTTGTATCCAAGATGAGGTTTCAACTTTATTGTTTTCCTCGTTGTTAGCAATACATTTTATGATTTGTGTTATGGCATCAGTTACTTTCCCCATATGCTCATTAAGCTAATTAGCAAATATTGTTTTTGTGTCGGTTGCTTTACGAAACTTTTTGTGGTATTCTGCAACTATGTTGTTGCGGTAGTTTGTGTAAAATTCATTCACCTGGTCATAGCCACTGAACAATTTGGTATAACAACATTTGATTTTTCTGTGTGTGTCTTCAGTATAAAATGCTGTATCCTCTTTCAATATCTGTTTTACTACTTTGTTGTATGTGGGAAATGTATGTAAATTAACATAATAATATACTTTGGTGTTGATTTCTTCTGATGTATAATTTTGTATATTGTACTTATCTTCATCTTCAATAGCATCAACTGCATTTTCAAATTTGGTGATGCTACAATCATAAACATTTTCCTTTAGCTCCTTTAATGTTTTACACGCTTTACACTCCTCACAATTGTATTTGCAAATATTGTTAATAGCATTATCAGGTAATTCTAACTTGTATAAGTTCATATTTTGTTGGTTAAACTTGCACTTTGAACACATACTCACCTTATTTTTTAACAACCGCTTTCATTTCAATAACCCCCAAAAGTTTTTGTTAATGATTTCCTCCTGTTCTTCCTGACTGAACATTGAATATCTATTATACTAAGGCGTTTTGTCTTTAAGCCCTTTTTTCCAAGCGGGTTTCTCACGACATATATTTTATTCATATCTGTCTCCTACCTTTTTAAATCCGTAATACTCCAAAGTAGTTTGCTTCGGATAAAGAATTTCATTGTTATTCAATTTATTTAAATATGTATTCTTTTTGTTGTCATACGAGGCATTTTTATCAATAGGTGTTCTGGTCGTAGGTTTTTGCTTCTCTTCAAATGCCCTTAACTTTTCATCAATGGCATTCAACCTTCTAAGATTGTTTGAAACTTTGGTGGTTTATGTTCCTCTTCTTGTATCATATATTGACTTTAGATTAAACATATTCAAAAATTTTCATAATCAAAGTATTATGAAAGTCTTCAAACTAATTACGCACCTGCTTATGATGTGCTATTGAATGTATCTCATTACTTTCCCCTTTCATGAGTTCATCCAATGTGAAACACTGCAGGGACGCTTCGGCAAGCCTCGAGTGCTACGCGACGCTTCGGCAAGCCTCGCGCGGGACGCGACGCGACGCGACGCGACGCGACGCGACGCGACGCGACGCGACGCGACGCTGTCGCCTCGCGAAGCATCCGCGAACACTGAGGGGTATTTTCTTCTCCTTCTTCCAACAGCCAAAACTGGCGCATTTGCCCTGTCAATATAAATTATATGTTGTGTATTCCTAAACATTCTTGAAATTTTGTAAAATTGTTTTTAATATCTCTCATGTTATTGTGCAACATCTCCTGTATTTTGGTTCCTTTATTATTTCTTTTTCAACTTGTTCCAGATTGTCGGAACAACTGTGATATAATCATTATAAGAATTCCTATATTAATAACGCTATTCTTATTCTATGTATACATAATCATGCTTACACCAGTAGTTAAACCTATTAATGTACAAGACTATGATTTTAAACAGTCTAAATACGACGTAGCACCAATGGTACCCGCATCAATGATTATATCAGCACCGTCAGGTTCTGGAAAAACTATTTTATTACAATCGTTAATATTAGATATTATAGACATTGCTTTGCTCATATGTACATATATATAACCCATCTATAAATGTGGATAGTATATGGACACCTGTAAAGAAATATATTAAAGACGAAATAAAAGTAGATACTGAAAAAGAGCAGTGTTTTTTTGAAGAGTATGTCCCATTGGATTTACAACAAGTTATAGAAAGACACCTGCCATAAGGTTATAGAATATCAAAAGAAGAATGACCATACAACTTTACATTCGTGCCTGAGTGTAATAGATGATATGGCAGACAACGAAAATTTAGCAGACACTCAAGTTTATTAAATCAGTTGTATGTGCGGGGAAGACACAATGCCTTAACTGTTATCACAAGCGGTCAAGCATATCGGGCGTTATCAAGAATTATAAGGGTTAGTTCAAGGCAGTTATTTTTCTTCAAGATGAGAAACTATAAAGAGATAGAGACAATGACCGAGGAATTCTCAGCAATGCTTATTGATAAAAAGATGTTGGCAGACGCTAAACA